AGCAATCCGGGTTTGATACCGCGCATTTGCGAGGAGCTGTTCGCGCGCATGCGCGTAGGCCAGGAGTCGGGCACGGGATATCGCACACACGCCAGCTACCTGGAGATATATAACGAACGGGTGAAGGATCTGCTCGCCGCGCAGAGCACAGGCCATGCGCTGCGCGTGCGTGAGCATCGCAGCCTGGGCCCCTACGTGGAGAACTTGTCGCAGCATGCGGTCTCCGACTTTGAAGAGATACAGGTGAGTGCTGGCACTTGATTTGCGTAGCATACGATACTAATACTATCCGTCTCTCTCTCTCTGTCTCTGYCTCTTCTCAGGAGTGCATTGCGCGGGGCAATGCCCATCGCACCACGGCCAGCACCAACATGAATGACACGAGCAGTCGCAGTCATGCCATCTTTACGATTACGTTCGTGCAGGCTGTCTTCATGAATGACATGCCAAGCGAGACCGTCTCCAAAATCCATTTGGTCGACTTGGCGGGCAGGTGAGCTAGTTACTGCATAGAGCATAGAGTTATGTCATTAACCAATTGTTGTTGCAGCGAACGGGCCAATGCAACGGGTGCAACGGGACAGCGGCTAAAGGAGGGTGCCCACATCAATAAATCCCTGGTCACGCTGGGCAGCGTCATTTCAGCATTAGCGGAACAGACGAGCGCCCATAATACTTCCACGGTGGCCACCACACCGAACGGGGGCACGAAGCGCGTGCTGTACATTCCCTATCGGGACTCCATACTCACCTGGTTGCTCAAGGACAGTCTGGGCGGGAACAGCAAGACCATCATGATTGCAGCTCTTTCTCCGGCGGACTGCAACTACAGCGAAACGCTGAGCACACTGCGCTACGCGAATCGCGCCAAGAACATCATCAACAAGCCCACGGTTAATGAGGATGCGAATGTGAAGCTAATACGCGAACTGCGCGAGGAAATCAACAAGCTCAAGTCCATGCTGACTGGCGATGTTGTAAGTAGTTGCTTAATTCAATGTTTTGAGTAATGTAAATAATAATTTGTTACGCCCAATCAGCAATCGCTGCAGCCCTCGCTCAAGATGCTGGCCGATCTGCAGAAGAAGGAGGCGCAGGAGAAAGTCCTTACCGAAGAGTGGACCGAAAAATGGAAGGTGGCTCAGTCCATATTGCAGGAGCAAAAGAGTCTCGGGCTGCGCAAGTCTGGCGTGGGCGTTGTCCTCGACTCGGAGATTCCGCATTTGATCGGCATACACAATGATGTCACCACAGGCGTCACTCTGTACAGTCTGAAGGAGGGCGAAACTCGCATCGGCACTGAGGATGCAGAGGTGCCGCAGCACATTGAGCTTATGGGCGATGGCATACGGCCGCAGCACTGCAGCATTATTCTCAAAGGGGGTGTGGCTACGCTGCATCCCTGTCCGCAAGCTCAGTGCTGGGTCAATGCGCATCTCATCGATGAACCCAAACAGATTTCTCAGGGCGATATCATACTGCTCGGTCGCACCAACATTTTTCGCTTTAACAATCCCACCGAGGCAGAAAAATTACGCAAGGACTTGAACCGTTCTCAGCTGGATATGTCGCGCCTGTCGCTAATAACATCGTCGCGGGAAAACCTGCTCACATGCAGCACCTATGTGGATGAAGATGCCATGACAGGCAGCACATCGTCGCCCTATAAACGATCCGACCGCCAATATTATCCGCAACGGCCCACGTCGCGCGACGATCCCGAGTTGCAGGATGAAAATCGCAAAATTCTGGATACCATTGAGAATGCACTGAAGCAACTGAATGTGGTATGTGGTATTCAAGTAAATCTCCCTCGCCATTTGTTAACATTTTATTGTGTTGTCAACAGGAGCGCGTTCAGATGCATGACCAATACAAGACGAAGGTGCGAAAGCTAACTGAGGAACTGAAGCGTCTGGAGCTGGAAAAAATGGATAACATGCAGATATTGAATTGCCGTGAGCAAGAGCTGCTTGCACGCAAGGATATGCTGCTGTGGGAAAAGAACAATGAAAAAGTTCAGGTATGTGCCACCGATGAAACGAAATGCATGTAATGCTACGATTCTTTTGTTTCGCATGTGCTTGTCCAGTTTGATTTATTATTTTCGTTTCATTTGCTTATGGTTTTTTTTCTGTTCGATTCATTTTCATTTTAGATCGACATTGTGTGTAGACAAATTTCAGCGTTTCAAACGCAGCTCGACTCTAAGAAACGCGATTTCTCTGAGTATGTAGCGAAAGAATTGCAGGAGCTGCATGATTGTGGCAAACTTGACGAGGTTTGTTTATTATTTTTAACATTTTACTTTGCTTTGCACTTAGGTTATTAATAAGATAGTATGCTTAACTAAGTTCAACCTTAATTGTCGTTTGCAGATGGGAGTGAAGATTGAGAACGGCACCCCCCTAAATGACGAGCTGCTGCTGCATGTCTCCGATTCGCTAGATTTGTTTGCAGCACAATTTATCAAGGATACGGTACGAAGAAATGTAAGTCCAAGTCTTTTATATTCAATTTTTATCTTATTAAAATCAATGTATACAATCAGAATGAGGAGATACGCAGGCTGGACGAGCAAATTGCTGAGAAGGAACGCATACTGAACGCTAGCACAAGCAAAATCGCCAAGGTGGACGAGACCATGCTGGAAATACAGACGCAATTGGAGCGACTGCGGCAGGAGCGTGCCGAAAGCGAGAAGGAGACCCAGGCAATGAGGGCTAAGAAACAGAGCATGCAACTGCCGATGCCGGCTGCAAATGATACGGACGAAGTTTCGAAATCGGACACATATGAAACCTGTGATACCTTCCATACGGCTCAATCGGATTTCTCGCTGTTGTCATCGCCTACCATCACAGAGGGCCAGCAGTCGCCGCTGAGCAATTGCTCGTGCGATAGAGACGACGACGCAGAGGACACGCGCAAGGATGACTTCTCCGGCAGCAGCGAGGATGCTTCACGCACATGCACTGCCGGCCCAAGCAGTGGCAGTGGCAGCGGCAGCACTTCAAATGCGCCCAGCTTGCAGGCCATTATGAGCGACAGTGGAGTGTGCCTTGAGAGCCGCAATCAGGCGGTCGTCCAAAACGGATCGGGTGGCACTTACAGACAGACCACGCGCACCAGCGACGATGAAACGGGCTCCTGTTCCTCCTGTGAGCTGGGTCGAAACTCAGACGTGACGCGCGCCTATTGCCCGCTTCATGTGCAACGCCGCAAGATCGCTGCTCAGAAGGCTCAAATTATGAAAAATCTCGAAACGGATGTGAACAAAGCGCAGCTGGACGAGCAAATTGCGGTCCTACAGGAACTTCAGCGAAGCTACATGCAGATGGAACAAGAATTGCTGCAAACAGTGCAGGACCTGGAATCCCACGCAGATTGCTGCAGAGAGGAGCGTACTGGCATGGAGAGACAATACGATATGGAAAGCTCCATAATGCGCTCCAGTGTGATGAGTCCAACCAGTATGGAGGAGTCTACCTCACAGATATATTCGCCCAGTATGACGAGATCTTGCCCCTCCATGAGAGAATTTCGTATGTGTTTGCTGAAATACCCAAAATTGACTAAAATTAATTTGTATTTTTTTTACGTGCTTAGCTGAAGGCGAACACTTCATTACCATACCAAGTTTCGTGATGCGCGGAGCTGGCAAGCAGACCCACTACGAATACGAGGTACGAATTGCTCTTCCCGATGGCAAATTAAACATCTTGCGTCGTTATAGTCGGTTCCGAGAGCTGCACTTGTGCATGAAGCACTGCTATGGTGCCAAGGTAAGTCGAATGCGTTAAGTTTACATATTTTGTGTTTTAATAAATTATTGATTCGGATTTATACAGATCTCTGCACTGCCTTTTCCTCGCCGGGAGTTTTTTGCGTCGAACAGTGAGCCGGTAGCGAAGCATCGTCGTCGCTTGCTGGAGCTGTACTTGCGTCGTCTTTTCGTCGTTTGCTCGAAAATACCGCAGTGTCCAATTTATGACGGACCCGGGGGACCGGGCCTCACGCGTGCCTCCCTCGTTCAGCTGTCGTCTTTTTTCAAGAAGGGCCTGTTCGAGAACGGAAAGCACGGGACGGGATAATAGTTAGCCTACTGCTGAATTATCTCCTGCCTACAGTGTGTCTATTTATTTATTTGTACTATCTGCTTAGCTATATGAACGAAAACTTGGGCCTGTTTTAGTTAGCTAGACCGAGTATTGGATGTAAATTAATTGCGTATCTACGATAACACCTTGTATGTTCTATGTATGTATAAATGACCACCAGTGTCCTTCCACTTTGTTATTACTTTTATAGATGTAACTGCAATTATATACATACATAGCTACATAGTCATTAACAATCACTGTATGGAGCTTTACCTTAAACCGTAATTGTAAATGTTGCTACTGAAGGCATTATTGTGTGTGTTGTATTTAAATACGTGCATGTTTGAGATTTGTTGGTTAGCTTGCGCCTGATAATGTCGCTGGGCGTATTTTAAAATAGATAATTTTTGCTCTAGTTAAATATTCTTCAATGTCTTGTTTGTACGGGGAACTTCCAAAAGTTATTCCAGTTATTCAATCTGTGATTATCTAATGAAAGTTATATGTCGAATCTAAATCCAAACAAAAGTACGTAACTGAACATTTCACGACTTTGTTAAAGAGAAAAACAATCAAGGCATATATTTATTAAATGTAAGCTAATTATAGAAATAATTCAACACTGATGGGTCACAGGTAGGCAGATGTTTAGCAGTAGGTGATAAGCAATATTTAGTTCGTAAGTAATCATAAGCTGACTGTCGCAATTATATTACACTAATTATGAGTACAATTTATTGGAAAAACATTAAATGTTAGCTACTAAGATATAGCCTAATGAGAATTGAGTGTTAAAGTTGCTCCGATGCACTTGCAGAAACAATAATAGCATAAATGTTTCAATAAAACAATTTAATATGTATTTTAAAAAATCGCATTTGCCGCCATGTCTGCAATGTTAAGCTGAAGGTCTGTTAAGTTAACATAGAGCAGGGCAGAGCTTTCATTGAGCTTTCGGCAAGCTTTTTGGCTTTGCCTCGACCAAGTCTTTTAGCTTGACCTGTATCAGAATAATGCTATAACTAACTATTGTGAGCACCATCTGCAAGGCAAATAATATCTTATATGAATATATAAATAGAATTTCTTTTCACTGATGCAACTTACGCCACCAAAGCTCCTTAGATTTATATCAAAGAAATTCCTGCAACTAAAGCGCAGCTCTAAATGCTCCATTTGCAGTACATATTCTCGCAGAATATTGCTGAGCCATTCCGGATTGCTATTTCCTGCTTATTGCGCTGGAGTGCCACACACAAGGCTTGGAGCAGAGCGTGGTGCTCGCAGTTGGTAAACTCCTGCTGCAGTTGGATGAGCAGCAGCAGTTCCTCCACGAAGAGCACGAACAAGCCGTATTCCACGATTTTCATTTGAAACATGACTAAGATTAATTCGGTAAAAATCTTGTAGTACCAGTCCATAAATTCGGTCAGTGAGATCACCGAAATCAATGGAAACGCAATCGATAGAAACAAAAGCCACAATCCAATCAGCCAACCGCTGGCGAAACTTGAGACGTTTTCCCAGCCCACCCAAAGATTGCGAGGCGGCATCGCTGTCCCTCTCCAGGGCTGCTATCTCCGTGTAAATGCTACCCAGTTTGCGAAAGTATATCAGCATATTGCCATGAATGACGATCAAGTGCAGCGGGTAGCAGAGCTTTTGTACCCTGCCCTGGGCACTTGTGAAGTCCTCGACCTCTAACATTAGAATTTCAAAGTTGAGTATTCTGATGTTTACATGGGTCACATCAATGCCCAGCAGCAGAATGCAGAAACAGTAGCAGCCGAAGCCGAGCATCCAGAGCCGCCTCTCGCAGCCACGCAGAGAAGCTGAGTGGCGGCGTCAGCGTCAGCAGCGCGAGCAACTGCAGATAGGGCCGTGCTGCAGTCAGCATATTACCGAGCGAGCAATTCGAGTGACTAGTTAAGTTCGACTAATTAGTTAAGTTCCAGGCTATTTGGGCAATGCGATTAATTGCATTGATAAAACAGCTGAATATTTGCATAAGGTAAAACAAATATGAGCACATCGAATCAGTTAAGAAAAGGTCAAGGTAATTTGTCCTATATACATATGTAAATACTTTTCTTTATAATTTTTTATTTTTAGTAACAGTATTACAGTCATTAATTAAAACGTATAAACTCGATATTTAATTTTTATTTGTACTTTATTTTAATTTTTACAATCTTTTTGGTGTTTTTTTTTAAATTTATTATTTTATACATATTTATGTGCATTTTAGTGATTAGTTTATATATTTTTATTTCTATTATTTTTGCTTTTAAACAGACTTTTTCATATATTTATATTTTTTCAAATATTTTTTTCTAGGCTTACTTTATATATATAAAAACTTTTTAGGTATACTTTGCTTTAATATATATTTAAAAATCGTTTTCAACATTACATTTTATATGAACAGATATGTGTGAGC